CAAAATATAAAAACATAATTATGAGAAAAATATTAAATGATGACAGAAAGTAGACATTATGAGATAAAAAGTCATTATGACAATGCATTATGAGATATGTTGAAATTATGACAATTAAACAAGTGTTGACCAGGTGTGTCATAATTGTGATGATGATTTACCAAATTATTTACCAAAAATGACTTTTTTTTTCCATATGTGGCAGAAATAAGATACCATATTTTACACAACCACACACAGCAGATGAAACATTTTATATTTTGATATTAAAAATTATATCACTTTCATTCACAAAGAGCAAAACTTTTAGAGAAAAATGCTAGAAACTGTGGTGGCTTACATTGTACTCACTGAAAAAGACGTAATGGGATGGTGTATTATTTCTTGTCTCAACGTATTCAAAATGCTTTGGGGCCAAAATGGCAGGGCCCAAGTATATGTTTCATTCCACAGCTAAATTTCGGTTGTCCCTTCCCTTCAGCTCTGAACTAATTGTGTCCTAACTCTTGAAAAATGTGTCTGGGACCACAGTTGTTCATTTTACATCCTTGTCTCGTAGTGGACAAGCAGGTGACCTTAATACTCAATCACTGTCTTCTGGTTCTCAGATGGTCTAGATTAGGCTCTCACAAATGATTTTGAACCAAGGACCACTTCGTTTTCATTCATTTTTTCCAGAGCCCTCTCCAAAACCCAATTTACGTTAAGATAAAAAAAACACATGAATACGTGTTGCACTTGAAATGCCACATAAACAATGTGATAGACTCTCAAATCCTCTTGTTAACCTTTAAAATAGAAATAACAGTGGCTCCACCACTCCAAGAGGAAAAATAGTGAGAGAAAATGGGAGACTCCATTAAATTATGCAGACTATTTCTTGACTGTATCCTGACAGGAGAGAATGGAGAGGAAAATACAAGCTGGAGCAGTCACTGTAAATCCTCCTCTTGATTCTCCTGGGTGCACCTTAGGCCAGACCCTGTCAGTCAAACCTGCTCCACAGCTGTAATCTCTGGACAACAATGAGGGGCCTGCATGTCTGATAAAACTGCTGAAACTGAGCAATCCTCATCCGCAGCACCTCCGGTGGGCCGAGAGGATAGTGAAATGGTGGGTGTTCAGAAGTTGACAGACTCACAACTCTCTCAAACATGTCTGTGAAATCCCTCGCAAACTGGGACAAAGACATTTGTCAACGTTGCAAAATGTTCCTGGATACAAAGTGAATTTTGAATGGTCTCTTCAAAAGTCATACCTTCTTGCATTGTTGAGAAGACAGTAATGAGGCCAGTAAGGAGACAGTATGACTGCAAAATAAAGCACACAAAACTTCAGTAAAACAGTAATATTGTGAAAAAAAAATTTTATTAACCGTTTTCTGTTTTCATATATTTTAAAATGAAATTTGTTCTTGTGATGACAAAGTTGAATTTTGGTGAAAGACACCAATAATTTTTTTTCTTCATCATTTTATGATAAATAGATAAACAAAGCTCAAAGGAAGAGCATGTACATGTTTTTACTGTCAGTTTTAATCAATTTAATACTTAAAAAATCTTACTGACCCCAAAGTTTAGTTAGTATACATAATACTAGTTTAGTTACTATATATGTAAGACAAAAAATATGTAGCCTGTATAGAGACCTAACCTGGTATTTATTGTGACAATTTTTCCAGAGGCTAAATATAAAAAAAAAAGGGTGTTTTGGATATTCTCAGGGGAAATGTATGGCAGGTAGGACAAAAATATACTTAGTAGCAGTTTAGCTATTAAATAACTAGAGCTCAGAAAAGGAGTAGATTGTGGATAAGGGAGGAACTTATTTTCCTTTTATTGTACTGCATAAAGTAGCAGGACAGGGCAGTCATCATAATAGGATCCCACAGTCAAAATTATGATACTAATCATAATTCTAAGATAAAAAGTCAAGATTATGAAACTGTTGATATTTTTCATAATTGTGACTATCTTATAGTTCCGACTTAGTTTGTCATAATTTTGACTTTTTGTTATATTTTCTACTGTTTATGTCATAATTATGACTTGGTGTATCTTAATTTTGAATAATGTCATAATCATGATTTAACAAATTATTTACCAAAAATGACTTTTTTTTTTCATATGTGGCAGAAATAAGACACCATATTTTACACAACCACAATTTTAAACACCTAGAGGCAACAACTGTGTGACAGCGATAAAGAGAGATTTGCTGAGGGTCACAGCTGAGAGAAAGAAGATCTCAGTCTTGTCAAGGTTAAGACTGAGTATGTTTGATATGTCAGTCAGGGATACAGAGATTGCAGACATCGAGACAGAAGGGGACATGTACAGCTGAGTGTCATAGGCACACCAGCGATAAGAGAAGCCATGCAATTAAATGACAATTCAGAGCTATCTATAAATGTCTGAGTGTAGACAGGAAAGAGTAACGGTCCCAGCAGTGTGCCCTGTGGAACTCCCACAATGGGGCTTTCCAGCTAACTTGGTGTGGTTCTCTTGGGAAGTGCCTTCTTGTTTGGAAAACACACACCTTAGACCATATTGAAATTTACATGGACGAAAACAAGGCTGTGAGGTATAGACTTAAAATCTTTACAATGGAATGAGCTGAACAAATGTCCTAGATTACATGCATTTTTCAAAACTCACAACTTTCAAAAGTGTTTCATTAAGTTTTTGTCGGATGAAAGTTTTTTTTTTTTTTAGGATATTACATGTTACATCAGCTGAACAGGCTGAACAGTCGGTATGTTGTTAAACTACAGCACAATCCATTGAACACACTGTACTTATATCCCTCACAGCCTTGTTTTCATTCCTATCAAATAATTAATATGGACCTGCATTAAAGGGATTTTGGTCAGAACAATATGAACGCAATTACATATTTTTTTCTTATTGCTGTACTAAGTTTTTTTTGTTAGGTGCTATTGCAACAAAATAAAGAGCATAGGATGCACATTAGGTGCGCAAATTACACTAAAAAATTTTGCTAAATAGCACTAAAAGTGGTTCTTTGGCTCGTAATCATAGGGGAAACACTTTAAGTGCTATAGCACCTATATCTTTAAAGATGGTGCTATATAGCACCTTACCACCCCAACGAACTGCTTAAGAACCATTACAGGTTCTTTATAGGTGCTATATAGCACTTAAATTAAATTATTACGAGCCAAAGAACCACTTAGCAGTACTATATAGCAACTCAGCTACCACAAAGAACTGCTGAAGAACCGATTTTTGTGTGTGTGTATGTTTTATAATATTTTATCAATGAAATTCCAAAAGCATATTCTGGCAAGATAATTTAATCAACAAGTAAACAACGCTAAATATATACAAAACAATTATGATCAATTTGTTTTCTTCTGTTGTTTAAGTAGTAAAAAAAAAAAAAGTGTATTTTTATTTTTCATTTCTCGAGTTGTTAAGCGCTAAAGTATTGTGCAAAGTATGCATATCATGTATAATTTATGCAATTTCTGTGTAGGCCTATGTGAATGAAGGGAAATTAAGTTTTGTGGTCTGTCTCCTTAAAAAAAAGAGTAAAATGAGTAGTGCTGCTGTGTGGCAAGTTTTATTCTTCATCAACAGTATCCTACATAAACGCATACAAAACTAAACCGTACAATTCTACATTTAATTTAAAAAAAAAAAATCCTGCATGATCTGCAATTGACTCGCCCCTCTTCCCGCCAATCATCATTCACAGAAAGCACGAGGCAGCCGCGAGAGAAGAAAACGATACAAACAGCGACATAAGACAGTTTGGACACGTTCGCAACAGTTTTAATTTGCTTTAGATAATAAATATTATGGCGAATGAGTTCGCGAAGAGTAGTTTTACAGAGGAAAAGGTCTCGTTTTGGTAAGTTGATAAGCACAAACGCAAAATATGCTAACTGACCAGAGTTACAGGTGTTAAAATAACAATATTACATTTTGTTATCTATCTATCTATCTATCTATCATAACAGTATTACATTTTGTTATCTATCTATCTATCTATCATAACAGTATTACATTTTGTTATCTATCTATCTATCTATCTCTACAGTACAGCTAATTCCTTATAGTTTCTAATGCAATATGCTGATTTTGACAATTGTACTGTAGATGAAACGGTCTATTAGCTTCGTTGTTTTTTGCATTTCATCCTAAAAAGGATGAATAGTTGTGCATGTAGTAGCAATAAAACGAGTATTTCTGTTAATATTGCCTGGTAAGATCTTGAAGTGCAGGCCCTGTCTTATAAATGCAGGTCAGGTTTTAAGGCAAACCCATCCATTTTGAGAAGAAGAGTTATTCAGTTCACGGATGTTTTATTGATGCCGAGCCACCCAACTAAGCCTGAAGAAACTTCACATAGGCAAAAGAAGATTCATCGCTCCGGAATAACAGACCTGGATCTCAAGACCTGTGCTGAGGTAAGACTGTATCATCATTGCACAACGTAACATTTACAGCTGCTGAAGTGGACCTGAACTCTTTTGTTTGTCTTGACAGATATAAAGTTCTTGAGAAAAAGATTGCAAAGCCTTGAGTTTTTTTATTTTTATTTCTTATTTCTGCAAGGCTTTATAGCCTTGAGAGAGGGAGAGGCAGAGAGAGATGACCAGTAGTTTTTGAAGTTGATGGATTTTTTGAGTGTTGTTTTGAGTGATGCAGCTTTTGCTGACTATTAATACTTTTTGGCATTTTAAATCGATTTCGCTTAACTGCTGAGCCTGCTGCTGAAGTCTTGAATGCGACTGGTTCATGCACATAGATGTTGATTAATATCTTGTACTGCATGTTATCACAATATCACTTTGTCATGTTCTTTTCTAATTGTTACAAAAGTAAAAATGAACTTCAAAGAGACATACAGTGACCAATAGCAAAGCAACCAGACAGTGGTCAAGCAAATCTGATAAAATTGACAAATTGGCCAAAAGCTGAAAAGAGCTACTGCCAAAAATTGTATGTACATATATAATATGCACATATTTAATAACCTTTCTCAGTGCAGATGTGGATTGACTGTAAGAACAGTAGGGGAGACTGGTGTTGGTTTGGCACAGGGTTAATTTCAGGTTTTTAATTGGGTGCTGTCACAAAAATGTGACTTTTTACCCTCTTGATCCACACTCAGTGATTCTATCAATACATTAGAAAATTAAAACCTGTCAAGCTGAAGACAGTTTGTCAAATTTGCTGTCAAAACAAAAATGAACCCAATTCAGCTAAAAATATTAGATAATGTGAGATTTAATATATGGCAGTGTTTGTTAGAGATAGAAACCAGTAATAAGTGTTTCTGACATTCACATTAGCACATATTTACTTGCGCAATTTATTTATGATTTTTTTTATTTTTTATATTATTTCTGGTCCACTCCAGAACATAATGTATTTGATTCAGAAATTCAACTTGAGTAGCAAAAATATCTGAAGTCTCACTGTTGGCTTTTTAAGTGGAAAAAGGGTACAGGTTTCTAGTTCCAAACCTGATATATGAATGAAACATGAATGTATTTTGTGTGTGTGTGTGTGTGCACATAAGGCAAGGCAAGTTTATTTAGCACATTTCATACACAATGGAAATTCAAAGTGCTTTACATAAAAGGAAGTAAAATAATCACAACAATTAAACAAGGAATTTAAAAACGTTTAAATTTATTTAAAATTAATTTAAAATTAATTTAAAACAGTTAGAAATAAAAATGATTATACATAATATACAGTGCAATCAGTTCAGGCGTAGCACAGTGTTCATTCAATAAATGCACAGCTAAACAGATAAGTTTTATTATTTTTTTTTTAATCTGCAATGTATTTAGGTCCTAGGCCATTGAGTGATTTATAAACGAGTAAAAGTACTTTAAAATCGATCCTAAATATAACTGGAAGCCAGTGTAAGGACCTGAGGACTGGTGTGATATGCTCAGATTTTCTGGTTCTAGTCAGAATCCTGGCAGCAGTGTTCTGGATGAGCTGCAGCTGTCTAATGGTCTTCTTGGGAAGGCCGGTGATGAGACCATTACAATAGTCCACCCTGCTGGTGATAAAGGCATGAACAAGTTTCTCCAAGTCTTGACTCGAAACAAAACATCTAATTCTTGCAATGTTTTTTTAGATGATAGTATGCTGATTTAGTTACTGCTTTGACATGACTACTGAAACTAAGGTCTGTCTCCAGAATCACACCAAGATTCCTGACTTGATTTTTAGGTGTTTGACCCCTAGAGTCAAGGTATGCATTCACTCCAAATGCAATGATGTAACACATAAGAAGTTTTTCTGAAATAAGACATTACTCTTTTCAATACAATGAAACTGAATGGTGGCGAGGGCTGTCATGCTTCAAAAATGACAAAATAATCTCTTTAAATGAGTAGTAAATATGACTTGTGTGATGCATTCGAAGTCTTCTGAAATCAGATGCAGTGTTATTTACTAAACTATAGTATTTATTCATATTTAGAAGTAGCTGTTATTTTTGTACTTTTTTTTTTCCTTAGATTTTTTTTGAATATTTTCTATTTTAATAGTTTTAATATTTCAGTTTTTTTATTTATTTATTAATTTTTTTACATTTTTAAAACAGTTATATCACTTATTTACCAAGGCAACATTTCTCATTTTCATTACATTTATTTTAGTTTTATTTTATTTATTTTGTTTATATAATGTTTAATGTGTTTTATATAATGTTTAATTTGTAATTATTTTAGTTAACAAAAACAACACTGGTCAGATAATATCTTTTACTGTATGTGTGAGAAACAGATTGAAATTTTCAGTTATTCCTTGATAATTATATCTGCCACAGTTCTCGTATCTCATTCACGTATATTCAAATCTAACACATCAAGATGTGTCAAACCAGGCTTGACATCAATGACTCCAAACATGATTGAACCAAATGAGACTCATAACCAGCTGAAATTGAAATATAATCATATTTAAATCAGATTTGAGAGTTCCAGAGAAAGGAAATCTAGTTATTCACACAAAGCTATTGTGTGGGTGTGTTTGAAGTCATATGGACCACATTTATCCCGCTTTTTTGGAGTTAACCCTAGTCGCCATTCACTTTCATTGTATGGAAAGTGCACTGTTAACATACTAGCTAACATTTCCTTTTGTGTTGCACAGAAGTAAGAGAATCACACACGAGGGTGAATAAATGATGACAGAATTTTCATTTTAGCTGAACTATTTCTGTACGTGTTCATTTGTACTTTTTTGAAGTCATATGGACCACATTTATCCCGCTTTTTTGGAGTTAACCCTAGTCGCCATTCACTTTCATTGTATGGAAAGTGCACTGTTAACATACTAGCTAACATTTCCTTTTGTGTTGCACAGAAGTGGGTGAATAAATGATGACAGAATTTTCATTTTAGCTGAACTATTTCTGTACGTGTTCATTTGTACTTCTGTTGGGTTATCGTAATGTTTGTTCCTCCAGAGAAAAAAGAAAACTGTGCCAACCAATTCTGGTCTCCCCTACAGATATTGCCTTAAAAATGTTTGCCATTCGTTTACAGTAGTCGATCATGACAAAACATTTCAAAAGAGTGCACACAGCTCTGTAAGTCCCATCACCATCATTTCACTCAGACCAGAATGATGATAGTCTCTTTGTTGGTGTCTTCTCTTTCGAACCGTGTTGTTTTGTAGGACAGTTCTGCTCTGCTGCTTTGTGGAAGTCATGACTGGTGGGGCCGGGTTTGTGTGTGCGTTTTGTCGTATATATGTGTGCCCGAGGGGGGCAGGGCTGGCCTCTGCATCTTTCTCTTGCTCCGTACGGCCTCAGATGGGTGATTCATACTGGTTCCTCGCTGGTAACAGGAGGGACATCCAGCTCTTTATTACCCTCATCCGTCACCATCAGTTCATCAATCCAAAGACCGGCGGCTCTGACCAGTGGCTGCTCTTCCCGAGTCCCTCGTCGCCTCTTTCTGCGATGAATGGGAAATTTACGCTGTCTCAGATGCACACGAACATGGAGGCAGCGGCCCATCAGCCTCGAGACAGTGTCAGGGATGAAGTCCCTTGAGATTTGAGTGTGAAGATGCTGCTTGTTTCTTGCCGTCTCGTTTTCATTGTCCCTACTTCCTCTAACGTCAGTTCTTTACTGTTGGGTTTAGTTGTAGAAGTATCACTGTTGCCAAATATTGCAAAACTCAGTTATGTTGGGAATGTGATTACCATACACTACTGTTCAAAAGTTTGGGATCGGTAAGATTTCTTTTAAAGATATTGATGCTTTTATTTAGCATTCAATTGATCAAAAGTACAAAGTACAAGACATTTATAATGTTACGAAAAATTTCTGTCAATTAAATGCTGTTCTTTTGAACTTTCTATTCATCAGAATATACTAAAAAATGTATGGTTTCCACAAAAATATGAAGCAGAACAGCTGTTTTCAACATTGATAATAATAATAAATGTTTTTTGAGCAGCAAATCAGCATATTAGAATGATTTCTGAAGATCATGTAATACTGAAGACTGGAATAATGATGCTGAAAATTCAGCTTTGCATCACAGACATAAATTATATTTAAATATATTCAAATAGAAAAGAGTAATTTTATATTGTAATATTATTTCACAACAGTTCCTTTTTGTTTGATTTTATTATTTTTATTAAATTAATGCAGCCTTGGTGAGCATAAGAGACGTCCTTCAAAAACAAATCCAAGCTTTTGAACAGTAGGGGGTTTTGAACAGAAAGCACCCATTTACTTCCACATTTTGATGCATTTCTGATTGAAACAATATTTAACAAGAAAAAATGTAGATTGGAGCTTAATTTTATCCATTAGTTTCGACTGGTTTGTGAAAATGTGCTTGTTACGTACCAGAATGAAGGCTGATGCATGTTTGCTAATGCTGTGGTGTGCTGGATGGTTGCCATAATGTTGTTTTTCAGTTGCTAATAAGTTCTAGGTAGTTTGAGCATGTTGCTAGGAGATTGCAGGGTGTTCTCGGTAGGTGCTAGATGGTTGATTACATTCCCAAGTTAAAAGAGTCCACCAAGAGTCTCTATGAAGGTCTGTATGACTCTGGTCCCTCCTTTAATGTAAGTCTATGGGGTGTTTTCATATGTATTATCATCTGGTAGGTGAAAAAAGTCATATTAACATATCTCTCCTCAGCAAGCTGCATGATTTGAGGTGTTGTTCAATTCTGAAGGGCTACAAGTGCTCAACAGTAAAATTGTTTATTTTACTTAGGGATGCACAGGATATTGGAACCATACAGGCTGATATTACAGATTATTTATTTATTTATTTATAAGTTAATATTAGACTTCTTTTTTAAATGCCTATTTTCCCTGTTTTTATTTTACAGTTATATTTCCTCTGCTGTCATCTAATACTCACAATTTTTTTGGTGTTTTTAAAGTTGATCCATAAAAATACAAATAATTAATAACACGGTTTAATTTTAAGCAAATTGAAAATTATTTTTATACTGTGATTTATAATGTTAGGATGTCTTCATTCAGCACTAGTAATTAATATAATTGGTTTCACTTTTTATTTTTATGTATTTATTTTTTTATTTTGAATCTGTTAGACTAAATAGTATACGATTTTAATATCAGCCATTTATCTGTCAATTGGCCCTAACATGAAAAATAATTATTGGCTTAGTGTACCAGTCAAAATTTTAATATCAGTGCATCCCTGTTTCCTTCATTTCAGACAGTTCAAGTTACCAGATTTTGATCAGTACCCCCCCCCCATGCCTCAGAAGAAAAGTGTTTAATTCATATGAGAGGATTCTGCAACCTCACGAGAACGCCTGTCAGTATTGATCTAGTGTCTATAAGCCATACAAATACTGTACTTCATTTTCATCAGCCAGTTTCTGAAATCACTGATGCAACTAATTATGCATTTGGTAAGACAAGAGCTAATAAGATGAATCTGCTGCAGTCACTGAGGTAAATACCTGAAGGACACCAAATCCTTGAGGATAAATTAGTTCTTTACAAACATTTCCATCATCTTGTGACATTCTTGTGACCTGAGCGAAGTGACTGGAATAATAATGTAAATATTGTTTTTATAAAATCTGTTCTGCGTTAGAGAATCCTACATGCTGCTCTGGCTGTTTTATTTTTTTATTCACACAGGTCAGTTTTTAGAGGGAGTTTGGAGGTACTGGTTTTCTCAACTGTGTGCACATCATTATAAATTGCATATCCACAATGCTACGTTTTTGCAATGCAAAATGTTTCTCAATGCAGTATATGGTAATTCCCACTACAGTTTCAGCCTCAAAAAGGTTATCGGAAATATAAACATTTATCTTAATGTGTAAATTGTGGATGCTGCTGCTGACTACTGCATAAATCCACATAAAATTGTCACCTACAATGTATCAAGGACTTTGCAAACAAGTCTGAATTTGAACGTTGAGCCAATCGCACCAGATAAAGCTCATTGCAGACATTCATTTCAGAAAAGGAAATCATGAAAACAATATGCAATTAAGCTGATTTTGTTTTCTTCTCTCATTTACTGTCCGTTAAATGCCAACAGGCTACTTTAAATTCACATAGATCTTTAATTCGTTGCTATTGATCTCAAATGAAGTAAACACTAATTAAAGTGGCCCTAAATCACGAGACCTAAAGTTTCAGCCAGCGGCTTCTGAATTTGTAATTCATAAGCTCGTATAAATGGATGGATCTCACTTTTCTGCCACGGTTTTGCCACTAATGGCTCATAAGGGGATCTATCCATGGAGACCACCGTGTAGCAGTGCACTAGACTGAATGTATAAATTAGTAGCTGCATCATGTTTACTCAACTGAAAGGCTAGTGGGGGCAGAGCCAGAGTGTGTATCCGCCAATGTTCCCTCATGAGGAAAAATTATGCTTTTAATGCAAGTGACAGCGAGTGGGGAGTGAATTTGTGGGTACGGGTGGTTACCTTAGCGACAACACAGACTGCAAACACGTATAGACTATTGCTCAACAGTGGTCTGAAAGGTTGTGTGGGGAAGAGCTATCGATTTAATGTTAATTCAGTGCTATTCATTTTCTATTAAAAAGCAGGATAAATTAACACATTTAACCATGACCTCACCAAAAAGCACACCTGCTGAAATCAAGCAGCACTTAAAGTGCCCCTATTATGGGTTATGAAAGGTTCATATTTTGGTTTGGGAGTCCCCAACAACAGGTTGACATGCATGCAAGGTCAAAAAACACTTTCATTGTCTTATAATATGCATTTATTTTTTACCTTACTTGCTCAACGACTCACAAACGATTCGCTTAACGAACAAGTGGGCAGGCAATATGCTAATGTTTCATGTTGACATCAACATGAAACGGCTTGGGATTCCTTTTAAAAAAACGACTCGTTTCAATGATTCAGAGTCGACTCTTTCTTTTGAGAGATGATAACTTTATACATGGTGCACTTTCAGATTTCAAACTTTGCAGGATGTTTTCATTCACTTAGAGTTGTGTTACACATTGCATGAAAGGTAATTTTCAAAAATCCATAATAGGGGCACTTTAATGAGTGAGTTTTTACATTCAAAAACAGCTGAATGGAACCTCACAAAATGAAACACAATGTAGGAAGAGATTTGTTTACCATAAAAATAAAAGGTTGATATTTTAAAAGATCAAATTAATGTCTTGTGACTTCATATAATTACCACTGTTTTTGATGATAAATTCATATTAAATCTTGAAATCATCCAGACAGGATGTTTTCATTCACTTAGAGTTGTGTTACACATTGCATGAAAGGTAATTTTCAAAAATCCATAATAGGGGCACTTTAATGAGTGAGTTTTTACATTCAAAAACAGCTGAATGGAACCTCACAAAATGAAACACAATGTAGGAAGAGATTTGTTTACCATAAAAATAAAAGGTTGATATTTTAAAAGATCAAATTAATGTCTTGTGACTTCATATAATTACCACTGGTTTTGATGATAAATTCATATTAAATCTTGAAATCATCCAGAAAAAATTAAAACACTGAATTTCAGAAAAAAATAGAACATTTTAGGGCCCTGATGTTGTGAAATAGGCAGGGGCGTAGCCATCATTTCAGAAGTGAGGGGGACAGAAATGTTATATATATATAAAAAAAAATATATAGTGCGGGGGACGAATTTACGTGATATTAAAAGTGGGGGGGACATGTCCCCCGCGTAATCTACGCCCCTGGAAACAGGTAATAATTTTTTAGTTTGTTTAAAGTTTTAATTGATTTACTTGATTCAGTTTATTATAGAAACCAGAAAAAGTAAATCAGAAGACATGGAAATTGGGAAAAATAAAACAATTTCAGAACATTTTTGACATTTTTAAAATTTACAGCATTCGTTAAGATTAATTTTTTCCTTGAGAAAATTTGGCACGTGTACCTGATATATATCCAAAATAAACGATATTGGATCGAACCGAATCGAATTGGGAATCGAATCGAATCGCAAGCTTGTGAATGAGAATCGGATCGAATTGTGAAATTTGTGTCAAAACCCAGCCTTATTAATCAGCATATGTAATTAACTTTGAATGTTTTGTCAATTTTACAGTCCTTGTGTTTGGTATTATATTATCATCTTGCTTGCCATATAAATAAATTTATAACTTTTTTTTTATTTTTTATTTTTTTTTAGCCATGCTCATCATATTTTGTGATCTAGCTCAGAAATACCACACGTCTTTTGGTATGCAGTGCGGCCTCATTCCTAATGCAAGAAAATGGTAATGGATTTCATTTCTCGAGTGTATTCCCACAGACTTCCCTCAACAAGTGTGCAGAGGTACTACAGCCAATTTATTTTATTTCACGTGCACATGGTCTTTGTGTGTTCGTACCCGTGTTCGTGCACAGCAATCTCTTCCTCATTCAAGTCATGTCACAGACTAGACACTCCATTGTCAAAAGATGCTTTCATCTATTGGCTTCAAATATGGCTGTCATCCAGTCCAATTATACACAGAGAAACAGGTACCGTTACGCCTAAAGGATTGATTGAAGACAGAATAGAAGGGAAAAAAGGAATGCCGACTTTGATTCAAGGACACACACGACGACAGAAAATCAAGTGCTCTACAAAAGTCCTAATTTGTTTGGGAATTTAGGACATATCTACATTTCAGATGGTAGCTGATATGATGATCAATTGAAGGACTTTACTGTGGCACATATTTTCAGACCTTTAATGCTACAAATGCACAGACGCTACAGATGACATTATACACTTGTGTAACTACTTCTTAGGGTTCATTATAGCATGCTGTCTACAGTGTTTGAAAGCAAATAGTCTGTAGTATGAATAGTACACTGGATCATCTAGCACTACATTTACCATAGTATATTGTGCGTACTGTATATCACAATTCAAATTACATTTACATCACATGTAGTCATTTAGCAGATGCTTTTATCCAAAGCGACTTACAAATGAGTGCAATAGAAGCAATCAAAACCAACAAAAGAGCAATAATATGCAAGAGCTACGACAAGTCTCGGTTAGCCTAATGCCGTACATGTAGCAAGGTGGGTTTTTTAAATATATGTAATAAATAAAAAGAAAACAAGTAGATAGAATAGAAAAAGAATAGAGAACATTAGTGTTACATGCATTTTAAAAAAAAGATAAACAAGGAGTTAGAAAATTAATAGAGACTGCAAGTGTTAGAGGGCTTTTTTAAAATAAAAAATAAAACGAATAGATAAAATATAATTAGAATAGAGAGTGCTAGAGTTAGAGGGTCAAAAAAGATAGAGATGTGTTTTTAGCCTTTTCTTGGAGATGCTAAGGACTCAGCTGCTCAACTTCTACTTTATTAGCTAATCTTAATAGCTGAAACGTTTACACAAAATTTTATTCTGCACTGCACACAATACTGTATCTCAATGCAATTTTTTTTGTTTTTATTTGAATGTTAAAGGGTAGTTTCTTTCTTCTGTTGAATGCAAAATAATTTTTTTTAAAGAATGTTCAAAACAGTTGACGGTAACCATTGACTTCCATGGTAAATTCTAAGGAAGTCAATGGCTGCTGTACACTCTTTGGTTACCAACATTTTTTAAAATATCTTCTTTTGTGTTCAACAGAAGAAAGAAACTCATACAGGTTTGGAACAATTTGAGGGTGTGTAAATGATGATGGAATTTTGGGTAACCTCTTATTTTGATAATTGTTTCCACAAAATTGTATTTTAAATTTTTTTCCTGAGCTCAAACTGTGGGCCACTTGCTTAAGCTTATCTGACAGTATTGTAGCATACTATTTATTTATACATTTGATACAAAATACATGCTGTTTCAAATTTTTAAAAAGTTAAAAGTAATAGTCACAATGGATTCGTTCAAACTGTAAAATGTATAAAAGAACTTGAGTGCAAATAGATGAGATTTAAAGATCTTAAATATCTTAAAATGTATTACAAATATCTTAATTATCTTTATCCATTTTAGAGGTCTTAAATTTGGGGATGGAAAAGCAGGGATTGTGATTAACTTCAAAGAGCTATTATTTCTTTAAATAAATGTTTCAAAGACAAAAGCAGTTCACAATCATTTATATTGGTATTGTGGTTATGTAATAAACTGTCTTGCATTTAATTAAACAAACTTGTAGCTTTTGTCAGTGCTGTCCGACACAGGAAGGAATGAATGCAAACATTATTTCACACATATTATACATTTTACTAGTATCAGCACAACAATCTGTTTACAACAGTTATTCTAATCAGTTGTTTTTGCTTGTGTCTCCTTGTATCCCTTTATTAAGAAAGTTTTTCTCAAAATATGCTCCTAAATTTTTCTCTTTAGCAACACATGTGCTCCTTAGGGTAAAAAGCATCCTGCAATTTAACATTTAATAAGCCACAAGTAAATATAGTGCTTTTTATTTAACTCTGCTCTAAAGATGTTGTTACATATCATCTGATGACACCAGCGGATGCACTATACTCACTTTGGTCATTTATAATCGTCGCAGGCATGCCACTCGCTGGATTTAGTGTGTAATTGGCATGAAACAAACCCATTTGAGCTGATTTACTGGCGTGGCGTGAAAGAACAAAT